GAGAGGGCCCACGCCAGGGAGGGAATTTCATCCAGGACCATCGCAGGCTGTTGTGTCCTTGCTTTGCTCTGTTCACGTTTTTCAAACAAAGTGTTCATGCACCTTGCTTCAAAGCAGTTAATGGTGACATGACAAATCTACCGCCACCTTGCTCTGTCATGGGCAGTTGCTTCTCAGTCAACCTGACATGTTTTCCCAGTCTGAATTCAATGTGTCTTTATATCCTTCGTACTAGCCACCATAAGGAGGGGGCCTTGCTAGAGATGACCATAACATATGGCCTCGGGTATGCTCAGTTCGGCCATATGAACAAGGAGCCCAGAGCAAAACAGCTGAAATTAACAAGTGTGATTTGAATGCCAGACATCCGACAAATAATTATTTATTATATAGATAATAAAGGAACACACAGACCAAGGAAGGATACTTCAGCTGCAAACATGTTCCATCTGTAATTGTCCCACATGAATCCCAGACTGGAGTCTCCTCCCACTAAGGGTAAATAGACTCTAGTTAGCCCCCTGGCATAAATAGGGTACCATGCAGATGTTGGGAAGGAGACATGCATCCGGCTTCAAGGATATGCGAGAGTTTGAAAGGATTTCCGGTTATTTTGTTTGGTTTTCTCTTATTAACAGCTGCTGGGAGAGGCATCCTGTTCTCCAATGGGATGAGCCCTTTGCTGGTTGGTGGATTTGTTATCCTGATCAACACTGCTGCTGCTGCTCTCAAATGCTGTACCAGCAGTTTCCTTTTTGCAAAGTTGATTTTGCCCTCTAAAATAACAGCATAGTAGCAGGATGTCCCCCATCCCCTCTGACTTTCATTTGGCAGTGGACACACAATACCCTCTGCTTACTGGGTGACATTCAATTTAGGGTGACCTCTCATTCAGGGCAGATTACGCATGGCCCTCTGAACTGGAGGAAATTTCACCCTCGATGACAAAGAAGTGAGTGATGTCTGCCAGATTTCAAATGTGACTAGTAAAGAGAGTCTGGAAAACCAGTATTGTGGGGTTGAGTATTTGTTTCCCCTCTGCTGCTTCTACAGCCCAGAGATGTTATGGGACGGGGGCTGCAGGAAGACAGGACCTGACGGATATACCAGAATCACACTGGTTACGTAAAGCCAAAAGCCGATGATAAGGCTCCTCCCAGCTACAAGGGCTGATTTCTGCCCTGGCTTGCAGCCCCACAAGCCCGCCGAAGCTACATGAGCCTGGAATCTGGCCCTCAGAGAGTAGCAGAGTGCTTTCAAACCCACCCTGGGCATGCAGAGGCGCAGTTAGACCCGTGAAAGGCGCATACACAATGAGGGTTCCTTGGTGAGGTAAAGAAGCTCTTCCGGCTCACAGGCCTCTTCCAGAGACTTCTGTTTTCATAGCAATAAACATGGGGAAGAGGGAAGGTGTGGGGACTATTTTATCAGTTTCATCAGAGGATGAGCATGCTCCAGTCTGGGATTTACAATGTGCTGCCAGCCAGGCCTTTCCCTAACCTCTCCCTGCCCAGCTGCATCTCCTTCCCCCAAGGTCTTCAATCTCCCCTGGCCCAGCTGACAGTCTCTGCTCTCCCCACCCTGCTCCTTAGATGGGCTGGGGAGGAGGAACCCTGCACGCTGCTAGCAATGGGCATGCTCCGGTTGTGGTCCCCGTGGACTAGCTGGGCTACAAAGGAGGTGCATGAGCATGGCAGGGGAGGAAAGCCTTTCAATTTCATACCTACGTGAGGAGCCCTTGAGTGATCTGGCGTGGACCCCCCACCTGGTCAGTCCCACTGGGCTTGCACCAGGGGGTCCTAAGGTAGCACAGAATTAGGGTCAAACACCCAGGAGCCAGTAGCGTTTGGAGGAGTCTAACTGGGCCAGGACCCTCCTACATGGTTGGATGAGGCAAGACATCTGGCCTGAAATTCTGTGCCAGGGCAGGCTGGCTGGGTGGGGCACATGCTCTCAGTACAGACCACAGCTGACCTGGCTACCCTAGAGCGAGCAGGCAGGCAGCCATCCTCTTTTGTCCCTGTCCCCACCCTATTGCAATAAGAACCCCACCTTCCACCTCCATAGGCTGCCCTGCTTGAGTGCTGCAAGGTGGGGCTGAGGATCCTGGCCGCTGGGTGCAGGGCCAAGGCGCTGCTGGAGCACAGGAATGGACACCTCTCTCCCTGATCATTGACCCAGACTGGTGCTGATGTAAGCAGGGTCAGAATGAGCTGCCCCCACTGCAACATCTCGCGATGAACTGGAGGAATAGACTTCAGGAGCTGGCTGTATTTGCATAGACACACCTTCTGTGCCTAGGTGAGCAACAGCCAGGCCTGCATTGCCAAAGCGATCCCTTTGGGTTACAATTCACTTGAGGACTGAGTGCCGAGGCCACAAAATAATGTTATCCCTACTGCATGAGTAAAGGGCAGAAGAGCCATGCGTAATCTGCCCTGAATGAGAGGTCACCCTAAATTGAATGTCACCCAGTAAGCAGAGGGTATTGTGTGTCCACTGCCAAATGAAAGTCAGAGGGGATGGGGGATAAGTTCCTATTTTGTGGGTGCTGTTCCAGAAACTCCTAGGTAGTGTTTGAGCCTCTTTCTCTTCCCCAGTGCTTTATGACGGTACTGACTAAACTTGATTTAGCGTTCTTGCTTTCCTTCAGCGGTTATGAGATTTGCTGTTGTCACTGATAAGCAGGTCTAGGGCGAGTCTTGAAGTGAAAGACAAGGGAGAGGCTGCAGCGGCTGTGAGGTTCCTCCCTGCCCGGTGAAAATCACTAAGAGCCGAAATCACCAAGTAGGAGACTCTCAGAACGCAGCACGGCAGAGGTGGCAGAGGTAACCGTGGCAGCGCTGAGTGGCGGCAGAGGCTTGTTACTCCCTGTTTCAAGGTAGAAGGTGAACCCCTCCCCCTGAATTCTGGGACTTCACTGACTCTGAATCGCCAGCTGTGAGTGGGGGGCAGTAGAGGGAAAGGGGAGCGGTGTCTTCAAGAGACATTTGTCCGTTGGATTTTCACACCGCAAGGTGGGAAACTGAGGCAAAGGACACTGCCCAGTGTACTCTGGGGGTGGGAGTGTGCTCATGGTTTACATGCTTTTGACTCTTTGTTGCAGTGGTGTCCCAAATTAATGCTGAGTTCCTTCTCCCTTTTAATAACAGTTTTCTCTTGTTCCGCACAGACTTGGTGCTTGTGAGTCTGTCTGTAACTAAAGGGGCAGTATTACCTCTTCAGAGGCCTGCAGGGGTGGTGGTTAGTTTTCTCTGGTTACTGCGTGGGCCTTCAGCCAGTTCTGTTTTGTATTGTTAAGAGGAACCCCTAGATAGTGGACCCACCCCCTGTCCCTGCCCATGCCCCCTGGCAGAAGGGTTACACTTACAGACTGTTTCTTCTTGTTGCCCCTAGTTATTTCTGGAATGAAGATAAACTGTGAACCAGAGGCACTTCTTAGCCCATATGCTGGGCAGTTTGCTGACTGAGATAAACAAAACTAAAATTCCAGCTAAAGGTCCTGGCTTAGAACCCAAATCACTCCGCTTTGTAAACAGATCTGTGCAGGGCGAAGGCATTTCCAGCTTGATTCTACTTACGGGAACTGAATGCGGGTCAGCTGGTCCCTTGCTAGATGAGTGGCTGCACATGCCGTGTTTGGGCACCTGAGAGCTGTACGTAGCCTACACGGCACTGGCTTTCTGGGATCTCCGGTCAGATATATGGAAATAACGAAGATAAACAGGGCTTAGTGTCGTGTTGTAACTTAGTTTCAGCTGTTTCCTGCAGGGAGGGAAAGGGCTTGGAAAAATGTTTTTCCTTTAGACCTTTTTCTTTGGAGAAGCCCCAGTGGGATCAGGGAGTCAGCTGGACCCTTCAACGTAAGACGTGTGGCTTGAGATTCTGTCTGCTGGGAACAGTCATCAGTCTGGGGAAATCAGGTACAGGCCCCTCTCCCCGTGCTTGTGTTTGTTGTGAACAGTGGCCTGAGGCTGACTCCTACAAAATTCTTGGAAGCTGCTTCCTTCCCTGTGATTTTTGGCCCTGGTACAAATGCCATCTGTCCCTGTCCGTGCACAGGGTTTGCATGTGTCTGGCGGTGGGTTGCTGGGACGCCATCTGAAATCGAAACCATGCGCCACGTCCCCGGCGTGGAACACTTCACCTTCTGCATGATTAATACGCATTCCGGGAAACCCCACTGAACTCTGTCTCTTGCTGCATGATTCTCGGCCTAGTGGCTGCCGGCTCTCTGCTGATGTGTCTGCCCTGTGAGCCCCAGACAGTGTCTCCATGCAAACAGCAGCTCCGTTCCTTTATATTTAGCCAGTCCTCTGGACTGTGACCGAGCCCTGCCTTGTCCAGCTGGCTCCTGTGAAAAGAAATTAGGGTTACTAAAAATATACCGGATAGTCAACAACTTGTCATCAGGGCCGGGCTTCCTCTGCTTCAGGAATTCTGTTCTCTGAAACCTCGCTGTGAGCACGGGATGTTCTCACTGCGAGAGCTGTGTTAAGATTGACGTGAGACAGTTGGCGGTTATGGGTGATGGCAGCGTAGGTTCGTGGGGTCAGTTGCACCCACAGAAATCGTGGAACCAAAGGGGAAAAGCCAGGCAAACCTATACTTCTCCCAGCCTGCTGTGGGAGAGGAGGAGGCCTAGGGAGGGGGGGAAGGGTGTGGAGAACAAGACAGCCACATTGGCAGCTTCTGTCCCGGCTCCCTGCTCCATCATGATGGGGGCGGGGGGGTGCTGCACCAACCCTCAGTGTTGCTATGGCCTGGGTGAGGAGCTAGGCCTAGCCCTGCGGGACAGAGCCACCATTGCAGGCTGAGCGTGGGGCGGGCTGGCTCCTCAAACATCCTTGCGCCCCCACAGGCCAGCATTAGGGTGCTGGTGCCAGGGTGGAGGGTGGTGCCCCCCTGGCAGATCAGCATGGTGCACCTATTGACTGGGGAGGTTATGTCGTCCCCCCCCATGCGTGATGTTGAAATCTGCCTGATTTCCACAGATCTGCCCGTTGTTGGATTTGCCTTCAGCCTTGCAGGTGAGCTGGGAAATGAAGACGTTGAGGTCTGTGGTTCTCTCCTTGGCTTCTCTTTGGGCTCTTGCCTTGCTGAAAACGTCTCAGGTAACTCAATTCCTCCCGCTGAGTTCTCTCCGCCATCCCCTCATTCCCGTAGCCTGTCTCTGTCCCGGCGGCTCAGGTGCACGGCGTCTCAGAGGGTCACAGCCAGTGGGAGGAGAGAGGAGGGCCCGTCTGTAGAGAGCCACCCCGCGACTGGGGCTGTTTGTTCGCTGTGTAAGTATTAGTGCCACTGTCTACAGGTGGGGGATATCCTGTGAGCTGTGGTGAAGTCTGGATGGAGATGAAATTTTGCTTTTAATCAGCCTCCATGATGTGGCTGCCAGTCAGTAGAACATTCCCCTCGGATGGGAAGGCACCCTAAGTACTAGAATGCTTTGCTACAGACTCTAAAGCAAGAGAAAAATAATTTCCCTTGTTTCACACAGGGAAACTGAGGCAGAGAGCGGGGACGTGACATTCTAAAGGGGGGATGAACACCCAGCTCTCCTGAGTTCTAGTCCAGTTCTCTAGCCAGTGAGACATGGTGCAGCGCTAGTCGGTTAGCCAGTTTGAGCCCAGTGTCACTGAAGAACAGCTCCCTCCATTGAGTAAAATCATGCCCAGGAGCTTTGGGGTGGGAGCATTGTTGGCTGCATGCTCAGCATGAGAACTACTCTGCCATTGCAGGGCTGGATGGCTGAGGGGTGAGCTGCCAGTCAGACCTGGCTACCCCCAACCACTCCCTTAGCGCCCTGTTTCTTCTCCCTCCAGGTGAGATGCCAACGCTCTGTGCAGTTGGGAATGGCACCCGACTCTTTTGATGACCAATACACCGGCTGCACTGAAGAAATGGAAACGGATATTGCTCCTCGCCTGCTAGAGGAGGAAAAAGCCAGACACCCGCTGCTGGGCTCTATGTGGGGAAACCTATCGGCTGTTTGGGCGATTAAGAAGAAAAGGCTTTCTGTGCCCAAGGGCTTTACGGATGAACATGGCATAGCCATCCTGGTCTACACTGATTCCTCTAAGCCACTGTACTGGGAGTTGAACAAGGCAGTGAGAGAGGCTGGGGTCTCCCGGGATAACTACATGAGCAATTTCCACTTCAAAGCTCTTCATTACTATCTGACGAGAGCCCTACAGCTCTTAGGGGCTGACTGCGGCCACCTGTCCAGACTCCAGCTGTTCCGGGGAGTCCGATCCATCCGCTTCGAGCCCAGCGGGACAGGTGTGTTCCGGTTCGGACAGTTCACCTCTTCCTCGCTGGATGTGGCTTTAGCTCGGAGTTACGGCAACGCCACGTTCTTCACCCTGCGCTCCTGCTTTGGCGCCCACATCGAGGCGTTCTCCGCCTTCCCTTCAGAGCGAGAAGTGCTGATCCCCGGGAGTGAAGTGTTCAACATCTCCAGCTTCTCCCGGGAGGGGAACCGCAGCGTCTTCCTCCTGCACAGCATGAACTGGACCTGCAGCCATTACAACTGCGCCTACCTCGGGGGTGAGTGCTGGCCCACGTTGGAACAGGAGCAAGCCAGGCTCGGCCACCTCGGAACAGGGATAATCCAATCGCAGAGGAAGCCGTTAAATGGGTGGCTCAGATGTGACCCACATCTTAGGTTAATCAAATTTATTTCCTAAGGGTGAAACTTGATCCTGTGCATTGGGCCGGCATCAAGCCCTCTGCACCGCTTCAGCCCCACGTAAGCCCATTATTGCTATTCAGTGCTCATCCGTAAAGCCATAGGGCTTATGTGGGACTTAAGTCATGTTCTTGGCATTTGCTGGCCCCTCGGCCCAGAGGGCTTCACCCCAGGTGGGCCCCCAGTAAGGAAGCTAAGAAGCCTACGGAAGCTTGGAGGGGTAATTTTTTACTTCCTTTTAAATCGTTTTTAAGGATCCCTAATACAAGCCGTAGGCGCCGTGCCTCTTAGCATCACGCTGGCAGCATTACACAATCCTTCAGACACGAGCCCAGCCCGGCCACTGAGAATCTCTCCTTCCCTCCCCTTCGTCATTTGCCCATTCTGCAGACAAACCCAAGTTATCGGCCTCGATGCAGGAGTGACTGGGACACATCCTCTGGCCTGTGCTACGTGGTGATCACAACAATCCCTTCTGGCCTGGGAATCTACGGCTCATGCCAGGGGCACTGCCTGAAACCTCTCCAAATACCTATTGAACAGCTGCCCCCAGTTTGGGTCTACGATGTCCTTGAAACACAAGGATCTCAATGTTCCCAAAAGCCCCAGGCATGGGCAGCTTGGAGACTCAACGGTGCAGTCTAGCAGCAGCATAATCCTCCCGGGCTTAAATTATTGATAATTTTGCTTCTTTGGTTTTAGTCTTCTGTACCTCTCTAGCTCCTGCATGTCAATGACTGAATTTCTTTTCTTTTCCTTGCTTGGCATGCAATGAAATGTAGTTTTAAATTTGCCCTGAGATTGTCTTAAAACTGGGGGCTGGATTGTAATGCCGATCTCTAACCGCTCCAGTCTTTGCATGGCGGGTTCGTTCTCTCTTACGGATCCTTTTGATGCAGGGCATGACAGGGCATTTCTGCAGTCCACGCTCTCTTCCTACCAAACAAACTTGAGAGTTAAAAGTTGATTTTTGGGGCCTCATTCTGACTTTGTTTACACGGCTGCAGCTGGAGTGAAATCAGTTCCTGAGACTGGTAGTGGTGAGATCAGAATTAGCCTCATGAGGTCATACTCTTTTTTTGCTTCTCCCGGTTAGATACAGTCTCCTCACTGGAGCAGACCTGGGGCATTCTCAGGTTCCTTGCGTTCATCTTAGTGCTAGTTTGGGGGATTGCCCTCTGCTTCGCAGCTCTCTCTACTCATGCATGATCAAATCGGAGGCCAAGGCACTAAGAATAAGGGACCAAACCCCAGCTATGGTCAAAGCACAGACTCTAGACAAGTCGGGATGGGGGTGTGCAAACCAGAGGACTCCCCCCTACTTTGCCCCTCTCAGGGCTGGATACACTGGCTTTAGGGCTACCTTCTGCAGTGCACAGTGGCCACACTGTGCTGGAGAATCTGGTCAAGGCGTCTGAGAGAGCATCCTCCCACTAGCCTTTGTTCAGACGCGCCGGGCCTGGTTCTGAGTGCTCGTTAGTTGTTGTTTGTATTGCCTACCTGTTATCCCCAGGCACAGTCCCGGGACCCTGGTGTTAGGTGCTGGACAAACACGGTCCCTGCCCCCAGGAGCTTACGGCCGTCATGGCAAGGGAGAGTTTTAAGGAGGGATTTGAAGGAGGATGATGGGGTCGTTTTGTGGGTGTTGAGGGGAAGCTCCGCCCTGTCGTGAAGGGAGCAGGGGAGGAAGCAGGAAGGGGCTGGTTTAAAAACGACGGAGGCTGAATTCATAGGCTGACCAGAGATGGGAGCTGACACCTCCATAGCAAATGAGGGATGATGGGTCGGGGGGGAATAGACCATGGCGGGCCTTGAAAGCGAAGACAAGCAGCTGATGTCTGATGGGATAGAGATTCCACTGTGGAGTCACTCCTGATTCACACAGGTGTAAATGAGAGCAGAATGGGGCCCACAGGCACATAAACCACTTCAGTTCCCTGATACACGTCCCTCTTTCTAACAGGACCTTTCCCTGATTCTAATCTTTAAAATGCAGGTTCTGGTGACATCTACTGGCAGCCCTGAGCATTGCATTAGAACAATACAACAAGAGTTTGAATCATAGAAGATTAGGGTTGGAAGAGACTTCAGGTGGTATCTAGTCCAGCCCTCTGCTCAAAGCAGGACCAATCCCCAACTAAATCATCCCAGCCAGGGCTTTGTCAAGCCGGGCCTTAAAAACCTCTAAGGAAGGAGATTCCACCACCTCCCTAGGTAACCCATTCCAGTGCTTCACCACCCACCTAGTGAAATTTTTTTCCCTAATATCCAACCTAGACCTCCCCCACTGCAAATTGAGACCATTGCTCCTTGTTTGCCTCACTGTTACACTGTCCCAGCTGAGGCGTGGTACCAGCCGGAAAGACAGACCCTTGGCTTTCTTGATTGTTGTGACCCTCTCCCTGTCCCTGTGATCAGGGCTGGAAGGGCAATGTTGAGTATAAAAACTATTTTACGAGACAGACAGGTAATTCCTCCCTCCCCTTTTTCTGGATCTACTCTGGAGTGCCGACAGGTTCTTGCCACCTGTCTGTGGTGTGAGGAGAAACTCCTGCTTGTATAGATTTCATGGGAGTTGCTCAGCAAGGCTGTTCTGATACCTTCTCTGAACTGGGGACATGGAATCCTCTCGAGATCTAGCACCTATTATAGGCCAACCTCAAGCATAGGTACCACATTTTAAAGGTATTTGGGTGCCTAAAAATACAGCTAAGCACCCCGTGGGATTTTCAAATGTGACTGCCACCTTTGAAAATCCCACAAGATGCTTAGCTGCATTTTTAGGCATCTCAATACCTTTAAAAATCTAGCCCTAAATGCAGACATCTCAGCTGGGTCTAGCTTGCTGTTGGGTGAGTTTGAACCAATTCCAACGAAGATGCAAAGCTGACATTTGTTCATGCCAGTCTTGGAAAATTTCCCCCTGGAGGAGACAGCTGTTTAATGGAAGTCTCTGTTTGTGTTTTAGGAGAGAAGTCTCCAGAATGTGTTGACAACATGGGTAAGGATTCTCCTTTCCACTCTGGTCTCTGGGAGATGCATTGTCTGAAACATCTGACAGTGGATCACAAATTAAATCTGAGTCAGCAATGTGTTGCAGCTGCAAAAAAAAGCTAATATCCTTCCGGTGTCTATTAACAGGAGTGCTGTATGTAAGACAAGGGAGGTAATTGTCCTGCTCAGTTGGCAATGGTTAGGCCCAAGCTGGAGAACTGTGTCCAGTTCTTGGCGTCACACTTTGGGGAAGATATGAACAAATTGGGGAGAGTCCAGAGGGGAGCAACAAAAATGATCAAAGGTTTAGAAAACCTGAGCTGGGAGGAAAAGTTAAAAAACTGGGTGTGTTTAGTCTTCAGAAAGAAGACTGAGGGGAACCTGAGAACAGTCTTCAGGTATGTTAAGGGCTGTTCTAAAGAGGACGGTGATCCATCGTTCTCCATGTCACTGCAGGCAGGACAAGAAGTGATGGGCTTAATCTGCAGCAAGGGAGATTCAGGTTACATATGAGGAAAAACTTTCTAACTCTGAAGGTAGTTAAACTCTGCAATAGGCTTCCAAGGGAGGTTGTCAGTGGAGGTTTCTAAGAAGAGCTGGGACAAACACCTGTCAGGGGCTGGTTTAAATTTACTTGGCCCTGCCTCAGCACAGGGGGCTGGGGTTGATGACCTTGCGAGGTTCCTTCCAGCCTGACATTTCTATGATTTCTTCAGCACCTAGGTAAATAAGCGGCCTGGTTTTTAGAGGTGCTGAGCATCCTTTGCATCCATTGGGTCACCACTCAGTGTAGATTTAGGTGCTTAACATTCTCCTGGCCTCTGAAAGGTTATTCAATGCACTAACTCATGTATTTTCTTTCCTTAGTTGCAGGAAGGAGTGTCAGGGTGTCCAGCAACATAAGCCCTGTGTTCGTTGGTGGAATTGTCCTGGTCAACATTGCTGCTCAGAAACTCTTCGCCAATTTCAAACTCGTCTTGATTTTGTAAAAAATAATAATAAAAAATTCTCTTATAAAAGTAAATGGAGGTGGAGTTCTTTACTGGACACTGTGCTGTGTACTCCTTGAACACGGCAGGCAGCGGGGCTGCTACTAGCTGGTCAGGCTTCTGTACCAGGTTTGGGCTGGCCCCAGAGCTTGCATTACAGAGATAAATGAGACATAGCCCTTTTTGAGTTCTTTTTCTCTTACCATCTGAAGGAGGATCCAGGAATGTGCAGAGCTTTATGGGTGAAGTATTCCCCTGTACAGAGGCCCAGAAACCACTCAGGTCCTGCGTGAGCCCTGGGTGTATTGTCTCCCGCAATTATTAATTCTAAAACTAGGGGCAAATCTACAGCATAAAGCTTCAGGAAGATCTCTACAACTTAGTCATGCTGGTAATGTGCACACAGTCCCCCTCAAGAATGTGATGCACAACACCCCCTGCTGAATAAATCCATGTGAGATGAGACCATCAATAAGGAATACACAGGTTCAGATAGGGTGGTCCTATGGTTGACACGCTATACTGGGTTCTGGGTTCAGGAAAATACTATTTTATCATGGGGACTTTAACCTGGACGACATTCGCTGGACACCTACTATGGTCAGTAAGAAAACTTCCTTGGAATTTCTAAATATAATAGATAATGATTTCTTAACATAGAAAGTCCTGCACCCAGCACAGAGTAACTCAATACTGGATCTCATCCCAACAAAGAAGAGTTAATTGCTGACCTAAACATTAGCAGTTGCCTAGGTACCAATGATGATGATCTGGTTCCATTTATCTTGTGCAAACGGAAAGTGGCACTTAAAAATCATCTGTACATTTGCAACTTTAAATCCATCGCGGGCATAATTAAGAATATAAATTCAAAGTGGGAAACGTTGATGAAAATGGGGCATTGTTCAAGATATCCTAAAAGATACCCCAAAAATCCACACACATGAAAAAAAAGTTATGCTGGGCAAGAAGCCATCCTGGTTTAAAGGAGCTGTAGAAATGGAAATAAACTATATGTATATAAAGGATTGAAAAATGGGGAAACAAATGGTAAATTCAAAAATGTAGGTGACTGACAAGTGAAGCTAAAAAAAATCAGTGAACTGTCAATGGCCAAGAGTTAAAGATAATAATGAGGCATTTCTTAAACATATTAGGAACAAAAGGAACCAGAGGACAGGCATAGGTCCATTGCTAGACACAGATGGTAAACGAGGTTAAAAAGACAGAAATGTTCAGTAGGTATTTCTGATCTGTGTTTGGAATGAAGTAGGTGGATGTATCCATCCCAGATGATGGTGTGGCTGTACCATCTGTAACCAAAGAGGATGTGTGGCAGGATGGCCTGTATTAGCCTCAGCATACTCATAACACTAACAGCTCTGCATTAAGACAATGGCTATAATCAAATTTCATGCTTCAGGACTTCAGCCAACCACCTGCAGGGTCAGGAAGGAATTCTGTCTCCCTCTTCTGCACATCCCATGCCCAATTTGCCAGATGTATTCTGGGCAGGATGTGTTTCACTTTTCTCTGAAGCTTCAGGGATTGGCCACAGCTGGAGAAGGGACACTGGACAGGGCAGACCAGTGCCCTAGGGTGGTACAGAGAATCCTGTTTCTTAAATGCCTGGCTGGTGGGTCTGGCTCATGTGCTCAGGGTCTAACTGGTCACCAGATTTGGGGTCAGAAAGGAATTTTCTACCAGGTCAGACTGGCAGGGCTAATGGTCTGAATGCTCTGACATGATGAAGGCCTAGCTCTGCCCCAGCTGCTAGGGATGTTCTTGGGCAAGGCCCTCAATGTTTCCCAGCTGTATACTGGGGATAACGCTTCCACGGTCTAGTTAGATCATGAGTGCGGTGGGCCAGGGACTATCGCTTACACTAGATACACCTTGTAACACAATAAGGGCCTTATCTCAACGGAGGGCCTCTTAACGCCACCGTCATATACATAATATACGTGGCTGCTGTGACTGGTGTGTGGGATCCCTATTAGCACTAACTAATAGCTGGTTTGACAAGAAGCCAGTTTGCAGGGGGAGGGATAATTGCTCTTTTCCCCAGCAAAAGGCAGGGCTGCCTCTTCTAGTCTTAGGGAGATGACAGGGGCTGCCCCTCATCTGCTGGCTAAGCCACGCAGCTGGGGATCCTTAAGCCCATTAGCGCGCACACGGTTTGTGCAAGGGAATTGCCAGGCAGTATTATCCCAGCCCAGTTAGAGACACAGTATGTTAACAAACCTTATTTGCGAAGCCCATGCAGAGCAGGGATATAAATAGCCAAGCAGAAGGGATGGATCAGCTCCAGACCTGGGCTAAAGCAGTTGGGGATTGCCATAAAAAGAAAAACCAGCTGCTTCTCAGTTGTCATGTCCACAAGGCCCCAGAGCGAAGAGCAGCCGCTACACCACAGGAACTGGGGGGAGCAGAGACGCCCCAGTTCTTCCCTGCCTGCTTCCGGGGCAAGGAGAACCCAGGTAAAAGTTCTCACTTCTTCCAACTCAGCTGGCCAGACTGGAAATCTTGTCAATTTCAGCCCCCAGCAGAGGGCAGCGCCCAGCCAAAAGTGAACTTTTTAAGGGCCGGGGAGGGGGGGTATTAAATCAGGGCTTTAATTTTATGACTCCACTTGTCCAAGAAACTGGTCTAAGTATTTCCTGGGCCAGCTAAGGCAGAAATCAACCTGTTGATTGTTCTGACTGTTCTGTACCTGCCAGGGGTTATTTAGTGTCGCAGGGGAGCGTGACATGATAAGGGTTTTAATCTCTGTGGAGAGGCCCTCGGAGCATATGCTGCTGCCTCTCTCTCTTTCCGCAAGCTGAATATTTGTATTCCAACTTGCTGACGGTTTGTGCGCCACGCAAATATTGCGGTTGCACAGGGCCCACGCACTTCGCAGCTCACTAAAGTACAGTCATGCGCAAGCTGAGGAAAGGCGTCTGTCTTGCATGAAGGTGTTTAATGCAGATGGACCTTGATTTGATCAAAGTCTTGGAGAACGCCCAAACACACTTGTAGAACCGGAGTTTTCTAAACGAAGGGGCTGCACAATAGAATGTGTGCAGGAGACACAAAGGCCTGGGAGTTTTCCTGTATGCAGTGCAGTTGTGGCCAGGCTGGCCCCGGATATTAGAGAGACATGTTGAGTGAGGTCATATCTTTTATTGGACCAACTTCTGTTGGTGAGACAAGCTTTCCAGCCACACAGACCTTCAGGGCTGGGAAGAGTCGTCAGAGTGTCACAGCATAATGCCAGGTGGAAAGGTTGGTGTAGTTAGCACACAGTGGAAAGGCCCGTTCAAGGTGAAGTGGCCCGTTAACACCCCTGCAGTCACAGGACAAAAAAGGGGGGGTTAACGGGTTACAGATCGTTGTAATAAACCATAAATCCAGCGTCTCTGCTCAGGCCATGAGTTTTAGTATCTAGCAGAGTAATGAATTTAAGCTCCCAGGCTTGTCTTTTGAAAGTGTTGTGCTGGTTTCCTTTGAGGATAAGGACTGAAAGGTCAGCTATAGAGTGATAGAATCGTAGGACTGGAAGGGACCTCGAGAGGTCATCCAGTCCAGTCCCCTGCACTCAAGGCAGGACTAAATATTATCTAGACCATCCCTGGCAGGGGTTTGTCTAACCTGCTCTTAAAAATCCCCAATGATGGAGATTTCACAACCTCCCGAGGCAATTTATTCCAGTGATTAACCACACTGACAGTTAGGAAGTTTTTCCTAATGTCCAACCTAAACCTCCCTTGCTGCAATTTAAGCCCATTGCTTCTTGTCCTAGCCTCAGACGTTAAGGAGAACAAATTTTGTCCTTCCCTCTTATAACAACCTTTTATGTACTTGAAAACTGTTATCATGTCCCCCCTCAGTCTTCCCTTCTCCAGACTAAACAAACCCAATTTTTTCAATCTTCCCCCATAGATCATGTTTTCTAGGCCTTGAATCATTTTTGTTTCTCTTCCCTGGCCTTTGTGAATGCATCCGATGAAGTGAGCTGTAGCTCATAAAAGCTTATGCTCAAATCAATTTGATAGTCTCTAAGGTGCCACAAGTCCTCCTTTTCTTTTTGCGACTACAGACTAACACGGCTGCTACTCTGAAACCTTTGTGAGGAGTGTTCGCCCACAGGTGATAGATTAGGTGTTTTTGTCTTTTATCCTTTTCCTGAGTGAGTTCAGTTGAGAGCATGGTGATCGGGGACTGAGCAGAGACACTGGATTTATGGTTTATTACAACAATTTGTAACCCACTACCCCCGCCCCCCCCCACACACTCTCTTTGTCCTGTGACTGCAGGGTGTTTGTCCTGTGACTGCAAGGGGATTCAACTTCACCTTGACTGGGCCCTTACAACATGTGTTAACTCTTTATGCTAAACAATCCCTTCCACCTTGCATTCAGCTCTGACGCTGGGAGTTCCTTTCCCAAACCTGCAGAAGAGCTCTGTGGCGCTCCAAAGCTGGTCTCTCTCCCCAGCAGAAGTTGGTCCAATAACAGATATTCCCTCCCACACCTTGTCTCTGGGAGTTTTCCTGGAAGGCTCCGGCGGTTGTTTGTTGTCTTGTACTCAGGGGACGCCTACACTGTGATCCCAGGAAGCGACTGCAGCTCGCGGGGTCGCACCTGAGCAGGGGCGGCGAGTTATATCGGCCCGTGGTGCCCGGGCTCCACCCATGTTTGGGGTCGGGTCTGTCCCCAGGCCCCTCCTGCCTCCCCCGTGCCCCGAAGCGTCCCTGTCTCTGCTGGCTCCCGGCATCCACTGCCGCCGCAGGGTCCTAGTGCCTCCGAAACACTAGTGCCGAAACAGGCTGACCCTGCCCCCGCCCGTCTGCTCGGACCCTTGCCTTTTCCGGCGGGACCCTCCACCAGCACAGGGCCCCCGCCCACAGCCACCGCTCCTGCCCCACGGTGGGCAAGGGGCAGCCCCACCCACAATGAGGGGCAGCAGCAGGGGAGGAGTCACACAAGTGATGGCAGCCCCCACCATGGCACCCACTGCAGGGGAGGTGAGGGGGCTTTCTGGACCGGAGAGGATCCCTAGGGGCATGTGCAGTGACAGTGGTGCGAGGTGAGTGTGCTGCGGGGGGGGAGGAGAGAGGGCCCCTCCCCCAGAGCTCGCTGCTGCTGGTGGGGAGAGGGCTGGGGGAGTCCTCCTCTCTGGCCCCAGCCCCGGGGCAGCCTGTCTCCACCCCAAACTCCTCATCCCCAGCCCCACCCCACTCCAGAGCCCACACCCCCAGCCAGAGCCCTCACCCCCTGCACCCCAACCCTCGGCCCCAGCCCTGAGCCCCTCCCACGCCCCAAAGCCCTCATCCCCAGCCAGAGCCTTCATCCCCCTGCACCCTAACCCTCTGCCCCAGCCCTGACCCCCTTCATCGTGAACCCCTCATCCCCGACCCCACCCCACAGCCCTCACCCCTGCACCCCAACCCTCTGCCCTAGCCCTAAGCCCCTCCCACACCCCAAACCCCATCCCAGAGCCTTCACATTTTTACATTATTTTAAAAAATATATATCGGCTTACAAGGCAGGCGTGTGTTGGGTGGGTGGGATTTGGACCCTGTTCTGAGCACCACCAAAAATTATACAAACCGGCCGCCCCGACACCTGAGCTAGCTGACTCAAAGCAGAGACGTGGTGGCAGCCCAGGCTGGCCAGGCGAGGAATTACCCGGGGTCCCAGGTGGGTTTGTACAGCCTGTGCTCGCTAGGTACCCAGGGCAGACATATCTTAGACATTCAGCAGCATCGCTGCTGCGGCCAGGTGCCGTATGCTGGAGCGAACGATGCTTTGTGCTGGTCGAGGCAGGTACATCGGAATATCTGAGCCTCACAGCAGCCCTGAGAGCCAGGCTAGTGCTGTTCTCCCTCCGCGCTACCGGTTAGGAAACAGAGGCACAGGGAGCGAGTTATCCAAGGCTACAGCGAAGAGTTTGGCAGAGCTGGGAGGAGAAGCAGAGCCTCCTCGCCGGCAGTCCCATGCCTGCAGTCCTGTGCCTCCCAGCAGTCGCCGGCTGCCCCACCAGCCTGCCCCACACCTCACCCGGCCCCTCTAAGCACTGCGCTGCCATCTGTGAACACAGGGGCCGGGCCCGGGGGGAGGGTGGGAGCGGTGAGTAGCCGTTCGCACTGAAGCGTTAAAGAAGAAGAGAGACCCAGCAGGCAAGCACTTGGCAATCAAGTCAATTGCTGGTTTCAGAGTAACAGCCGTGTTAGTCTGTATTTGCAAAAAGAAAAGGAGTACTTGTGGCACCTTAGAGACTAACCAATTTATTTGAGCATGAGCTTTCGTGAGCTACGGCTCACTTCATAGCTCACGAAAGCTCATGCTCAAATAAATTGGTTAGTCTCTAAGGTGCCACAAGTACTCCAAGTCAATTGCTGAAACCCAGAATGGAGAACCATCTGCAGCCAGGAGAATGGGCTCAGACTCCTCAGGGTGAGGGGTGGGGACTCAGTTCCAAGCCCCAAACTTTACCCAGGATGAAGCGTGCAAGTGATGTGTGGTACACACTGCGGCCTTTGCTATGGACAAGGGGAGCTGGGCCGTGCAATTGCCAGCTGGCATAGCCATACCTGGGCTAGCTCTGCTTCCGCTAGCCTCTAAAAATAGCAGCATGTTTGTAGCAGCTCACACTAGCCGCCCCCAGTACAATCCTGCCTGACCCCCGGGGTACGTACTCGGGCAGCCAGCCCAAGCTGCTGCCCCTGCCAGCACAGACCCACGGCTATGTCTAAGGTGTACCCAGGTACATCTACGCCAGCTGGGACTCACCTCCCAGCTCAAACATAGCCTGTGCGAGGCTTTGGTCCTTAATGTTTCCCTTTGTGGCTCCCCCGTGAGTGATGTAGCCCTTCTCCCGGGTGGAGTTGGCGGCAAGGAGGGCCAGGTTCGGTGTCTAGGGGGTTCCTCTTCACAACACAAAGCAGAACCGGCTCGAGCCCCGCCCAGGAATCTGGGAAAACTAAATACAACCCTGGGCACCTCTAAGAGGCAAGACTTCCCCTCTCGCAAGTCAGTGTGTAACCCACACATCTCCTGGGTGTGGTGTTCTGTCCCATCTCATGGCACTGAGACCACTTAGAGAAAGTTAAATGAGTCTGCTTGACAGCCTCAGCTAACAGCCAGCTGGCTTTTATTTTATGCTGTAGAGGCTCATGCACTAAGCTCCAGAGGTCCCAGGTTCGATCCTTCCTACTGACGACCGGGGTGTGTCGGCGTTACAAGTGTACTACTAGAGAGAGCTTTTATTAACAGGGAAAGGGAACCCAGCATAAATCTGGGCCAACGCCACACCCGCATTCCATCTGACCATAAGTAAACACCCCACCCCACAGCACGCTGGGCAGGGCCCTGTGACTCAGTTTCCCACCCTTGTGGCATGAAAGTCTGATGAACTAATGTCCCTTGAACATGCCGCTCCCCTCTCCCTCCGCTGCACCCCGGTTACAGCTGGTTGTCCTTTGCGCCTCCCGGCCCTGAAAAGGGGATATAGAGCAAAGCCATTCCTGTGGTCAGCCATCCTCTGCAACTGACTCATGGCTCCTGCTCTTACCTCTGCTGCTACTTGCTGCTGCCTCTGTTCTCTCTCCCGCCCGGTGCTGCTCGCTGCCTCGTCAGGTAATTCAAAATCAACCAAAACAGATCCCTTTGGCAAAGCAGATCACCCGCCGAACACCTAGGCAGAGTGGGCGTGTCTATGCAAATATGGTCTGCTCCTGAAGTCTTTTCCCCCAGTGCGTCACTAGATCACAGAATCATAGAACCACAGGGTCAGAAGGGACCACCAGGGTCATCTAGACTAACTCCCTTGTATGGGGATGAAGACAAACAGAAGCACAGATGTCAGGGGAGACCCGCTCATTCAGACCCGCTGATTTTAGGAAACATTGTCAGAGCAGCCGCCAGCAAGACTTGGTGGCTGCACTTTGAAGCCACCAAAAATTTTGTTGTGAGAGCCCCTGCTCTAAATGGCCTCGATTGTGGTGTAGGGGACGAGCCAGGTTGATTCCAGTGTTGCTCAAAGTGGTTCAGTCATCCCTGAGTATTTCTGATGTCCTGCGGGACCCCAGTGCATGGTGCTGTTCCCTCTCTGAGTTCCAGATTTGCCTCTCTTGATTGATTGGCATGACTGGAGACAGAGAGAGAGTAAAAGAACCGACCGTTGTGGGACCAAAGGCAGCCCTGGTCCCAGACTTTTGGCTTCAGGGCTGTTCTCGCAGCGATGAATTCTGAGCCGGCTCCTAGCAGAAGATGATGGCTTTATGGTTAAAGCGCTGGGCTAGGATTGGGAAGATCCGCTATCAACTGCAAGCTCAGCCTCACACGTCCTGTGGGATCATCTCCCTGAGTCTCTCTGAGCCACAGTTCCCCGTCTGTAAGATAATACTTCCACTCTTCTGGCCTTGTGTCTTTAGATTGGAAATTCTCCAGGGTGGGAACTCTCTCTTGCTGTGTGTGTATGTACAGCACCTAGCACACGGAAGCTGTGGTCTTGCATGGGGCCTCACGGTGAAAAACAATAGATTCTACAGGGATGCTAGAGCAAAGGACCAGAAATCTGTAGTCTGCAGGGGAACACAATGGCCTGGACAGGTGTGCATTCACCCCCCCACCGCTTCCCATCATCTCCCAGGTGCTCTGTGGCTCTTCATCTGTCTCTTGCACAGATTGGAGCTTGGTATGAATAAGTCACTCACTGAGTCGCCGTGGTCTGTACTGGCTCTGTACTGGCTGTGGACTGAGTGTATTTTTTTTCCAGACGTGGATGGCGAAGATGGAGCGTCTCAGACCAGTCTTTGTCCTGCTGCTGGCTGGGATCTTCATGGAAGGCCCTCAGGTACGCCCTGGGTGGCTCTGCTAAAAACATGCAGCAGTTAAACAATTAACAATGTCATCATCATTAGGGTTCAGCATTAACACTCCATTGAGATGAACAGGGTGTAGGGCTAATTCTATGGGCTAGATCCCCAGCTGCCATAAGTCAGCCTAGCTCCATTGACTTCTGTGGCTCATTGACACCTGCTGAGGATCTGCCCGTTTACCCGTGCACACCCCTGGCAGGCAGGGCAGCGCTGTATCCCCATTGTACAGATGGAGACCTGAGGCCCAGACAGACCAAGGGACTTGACCAAGGTCCCACAGGGAGTCTGTGGCAGAGTAGATAGCATCCCAGGCTACCACCCTAACCACTGGACCACCCTTTCCCTCATGCTCCCAACACCTTATCTCTGTCACTTGGCTATTGCTGTCCCTGTAGCCTGGCTAAGACCTGCTCTACCATCTGTTGCCAGTGCCTGTCACCATGTTCTCCTGCTGCCCTCAGGTCCAGTGTTTCTCCCTCCGCAAGAGAGACCTCTTCTCTGTCAGAGAGTCAGCCCTGGACATGGCCCTGAGCTCCTTCGACGACCAGTACAAGGACTGTGACAGCATGATGCAGGCTGAGCTGGGGGAGCTGAACCGCACTGAGTTGGCCAACAACAGGAACTATGCTGAGACCTGGCTGGAGGCTGCCTCCAACTGGAAAGAGATGAAGGACAAGAGCTACATGCCGCGGGACTTCAAGCCTGAGTACGCCATCGCCATCTTGGCCTACACCAGCCAGGGCCCCCTGCACAAGCAGCCCCTTCACCAGGAGTTCAATGCAGCCGTGAGAGAGGCAGGCCGCACCCGGGACTTTTACCTCAACAACTTCAACTTCAAGACCCTGCACTTCCTCCTGACCAGAGCCCTTCAGGTCCTGAAGGCCTCTGAGCCCACCAAGTGCCACCAGGTATACCGCGGAGTCCGGGGCATCCGCTTCAAAGCCGAAAGTCGCAAGCCCGTCCGGTTTGGCCACTTCACGTCCACGTCCCTGAAAAACGAGAGCGCCCTGCAGTTTGGGCAGGACACCTTCTTCTCCATAAAGACCTGCTATGGGGTCAACATCAGGAACTTCTCCTTCTTCCCCGGCGAGGATGAAGTTTTGATCCCCCCCTTCGAGAAATTCAAAGTCACCAACTTCACCCGGGCTCAGGACAGAACCTTGATCCAGCTCCTGTCCCTGGACAGCTCCAGCAACTACAACTGCGAGTATGTGAAAGGTAATGTCCACGCACAGGGATAGTGGCCTCTCGCTCCCTGTGGCCTCTTGGGGATCCTGGTCTGAGCTTCCCACTGGCCTGTGGGGCATTCAGAACTGGGGGGATAGTCTGGCCCAATTATACACTCCGAACTCCCTCTGGCGTCAGAGCTGTTTGGAGCTGGGGTTTCAGTCTGTGGAAGGAGAGTCGGAGACAAGGGTCTGCGGGTGGAAACAGGGCCAGATCTCCAGCTGGTGTGAACTGGCTGCAAGGCAACACCAGCTGAGCCGCTGGCCCAGGCCAGCTCCGGTTTTGTGGTTGTGGTTGGGCCTCAAGTGGGACCAGGATGAAGCTGATGCCATTTTGCTTAGCGCCAAACTGGAGCGGGAGAGCGAAGGCCGCCCAGGCAGTGCCTATGAGTGGGGCGTGTGACCAGACTCAGTGTCTTGATGGGCCTCCTTCCCACATCCCATCCCAGCCATCAGCTGGCGCCTGTCAGGAGAGGGTGAGGGCAGCTGTCTCTGAGATAAGGGTGTCAGTCCGATGCGAGACAATGGTCCTATCCCAGAGCCCTGAGGCTCCAGCCTGGAGCTGAGGCAGGGGCGGACGGTCTTGTAGGCAAGGCACTGAACTAGGACTCTGAAGACTTGAGCTCATGCCCCGTCCCCGCTGCAGACGCCCTGCACAATCTTGGGCGAGTGAGTTAATCTCTCTGAGCAACTCCCCGCCTGTAATAGGGGGTTACGAGCAATTCCTTTCTCCCTCTCCTAGGCTATTGAAACGCTGAGCGCTTTGGGCCAGGGATGGCATCTAAGCCCTACCCAGCACAACTGGGCCCTGATCTTGGCTGGGGCCTTTTATGTTCTACCCCAATACAAATAATAGCGTGCCCGGTGGACAAGAAATTCACTGACCCCCATGGCCTGGTGGGTCCTGACCCTGTACCTCCCACAGAGCTCCAGGAGAATGGTATAGTTATGGCCCAGAGCAACGGATGGAAACTCCTTCTTCCACCACATGACCCAGGCTGTAGAAGCCCTGCAGCCAAGCAGAGAGGAGTAGGGTTGCCCAAGGGCCTCCCTGCATTGTCCCTCTGTACGACCCCCAATGACGTCTGAAAAGAGACAGCTTAGCACGGGAGAATTCAATCCAAACAGCTCCCCAGGGCAAGGAGCCCTGCTGCCCAGCAGATTGGCCCCTTTCTTTCCCAACCACCGCTGGTTCCCCACCCAGCCTGGTTCTTCTGGGGTCACCCATAGGTCAGCGTGGTGGCACCATACCCATAACCCCATGAGGTCCCTATGCCAGAGCCACCTGGCCTTGCATAGAGAAGGGGGTGAAAGTTTTTGTTTTAATGTTGTTGGTTTCTTTGGCAGAGAAAAGATGCAAGACCCGGAGATGCGTTTTCAGCTCCGGTAAGAACATTAATGACAATCTGATGCTTTTAGGGGGCAGCACAGAGCTTATATTCCTGCCTCCTCCTCCCAGCCCCTTCCCGCACTGTAATTCTTTCTTATTCTCTTCCTTGGGATCTGCAGGAATGAGCAGTTTCTCCTCCAGCGTACATTGCCTGTACCTCCTCGGTGGAGTTCTTCTGGTGGCAAGTGCTTTGGGAACACCTGGCTTCCTTTGACATCCTACTCAGCATGCTCACTCTCTCCCTGAGCGGTTATTAAAACTCTGTTGAAATTGCTTTGAGGAAAAAGGAGATGGAGAAGAAAGAAACCCTGGAGCCCATCTGCTGGTGTCTCAGGCTAGAAGTCAAGAATTAGAGGGTGTGACTACAATTCATGCCTTTTTAGACAATAACAAACCTGCTTGATAAAGGGAACTGGGGAGATGGAATAGACTTAGACCATTGCAAGTTGTTTGACTTAGTACCACATGACATTCAGATTAACAAATGAACTCTAGACAGTATCAATAGAGCACTTATTAGATGGAGTGAGAACTGGCTAACTGATAGATCTCAGAAAGGAGATGTCCATGGGGAATCCTCATCCCCATGTTGTATGTTGGCAACAAGAAGAAAGCCAAGGAATGTGTGGGCCCCTTACTGAATGAGGGAGGCAAACTAGTGACAGAGGATGTGGAAAAAGCTAATGTACTCAATGCTTTTTTTGCCTCTGTTTTCACTAACAAGGTCAGCTCCCAGACTGCTACGCTGGGCATCACAAAATGGGGAAGAGATGGCCAGCCCTCTGTGGAGATAGAGGTGGTTAGGGACTTTTTAGAAAAGCTGGACGTGCACAAGTCCATGGGGCCGGACGAGTTGCATCCGAGAGTGCTGAAGGAACTGGCGGCTGTGATTGCAGAGCCATTGGCCATTATCTTTGAAAACTCGTGGCGAACCGGGGAAGTCCCGGATGACTGGAAAAAGGCTAATGTAGTGCCAATCTTTAAAAAAGGGAAGAAGGAGGATCCTGGGAACTACAGGCCAGTCAGCCTCACTTCAGTCCCTGGAAAAATCATGGAGCAGGTCCTCAAAGAATCAATCCTGAAGCACTTGCATGAGAGGAAAGTGATCAGGAACAGCCAGCATGGATTCACCAAGGGAAGGTCATGCCTGACTAATCTAATCGCCTTCTATGATGAGATTACTGGTTCTGTGGATGAAGGGAAAGCAGTGGATGTATTGTTTCTTGACTTTAGCAAAGCTTTTGACACGGTCTCCCACAGTATTCTTGTCAGCAAGTTAAGGAAGTATGGGCTGGATGAATGCACTATAAGGTGGGTAGAAAGCTGGCTAGATTGTCGGGCTCAACGGGTAGTGATCAATGGCTCCATGTCTAGTTGGCAGCCGGTATCAAGTGGAGTGCCCCAAGGGTCGGTCCTGGGGCCGGTTTTGTTCAATATCTTCATAAATGATCTGGAGGATGGTGTGGATTGCACTCTCAGCAAATTTGCGGATGATACTAAACTGGGAGGAGTGGTAGATACGCTGGAGGGGAGGGATAGGATACAGAAGGACCTAGACAAATTGGAGGATTGGGCCAAAAGAAATCTGATGAGGTTCAATAAGGATAAGTGCAGGGTCCTGCACTTAGGACGGAAGAACCCAATGCACAGCTACAGACTAGGGACCGAATGGCTAGGCAGCAGTTCTGCGGAAAAGGACCTAGGGGTGACAGTGGACGAGAAGCTGGATATGAGTCAGCAGTGTGCCCTTGTTGCCAAGAAGGCCAATGGCATTTTGGGATGTATAAGTAGGGGCATAGCGAGCAGATCGAGGGACGTGATCGTTCCCCTCTATTCAACATTGGTGAGGCCTCATCTGGAGTACTGTGTCCAGTTTTGGGCCCCACACTTCAAGAAGGATGTGGATAAATTGGAGAGAGTCCAGCGAAGGGTAACAAAAATGATTAGGGGTCTGGAACACATGAGTTATGAGGAGAGGCTGAGGGAGCTGGGATTGTTTAGCCTGCAGAAGAGAAGAATGAGGGGGGATTTGATAGCTGTTTTCAACTACCTGAAAGGGGGTTCCAAAGAGGATGGCTCTAGACTGTTCTCAATGGTATCAGATGACAGAACGAGGAGTAATGGTCTCAAGCTGCAGTGGGGGAGGTTTAGATTGGATATTAGGAAAAACTTTTTCACTAAGAGGGTGGTGAAACACTGGAATGCGTTACCTAGGGAGGTGGTAGAATCTCCTTCCTTAGAGGTTTTTAAGGTCAGGCTTGACAAAGCCCTGGCTGGGATGATTTAACTGGGAATTGGTCCTGCTTTGAGCAGGGGGTTGGACTAGATGACCTTCTGGGGTCCCTTCCAACCCTTATATTCTATGATTCTATGATCCAACGGGTTTTTTCTGAGTGGTTCACAAAGGTCCTTAAGCACCTAACTCCCACTGATTTGGGCCTCTAGGGGCCTGGCTGATGGGCTGGAGAAAGGTGCCTTTTTCCACATTGGACTGTCAGCCCTCTCCCAGAGCGAGGTGTGTAGGACAGGTCAGCGGTTTCTCATGAGAGATATAAAAACATACATAAGAATGGCCATACTGGGTCAGATCAGAGGTCCATCTAGCACAGCATCCTGTTTTCCGACAGTGGCCAATGCCAGGTGTCCCAGAGGGAATGAACAGAACAGGGAATCATCAAGTGATCCATCCCCTGTCGCCCATTCCCAGCTTCTGGAAAACAGAGGCTAGGGACACCAACCCTGTCCATCCTGGCTAATAGCCATTGATGGACCTATCCTCCATGGATATATCTAATTCTTTTTTGAACCTTCTTATAGCCTTGACCTTCACAACATCCTCTGGCAAAGAGTTCCACAGTTTGACTGAGTTGTGTGAAAAAATACTTCCTTTTGTTTGTTTTAAACCTGCTGCCTATTAATTTCATTTGGTGACCCCTATTTCTTGTGTTATGAGAAGGAGTAAATAACACTTCCTTATTTACTTTCTCCACACCTGTCATGATTTTATAGACCTCTATCATATCCCACCTTAATCATCTCTTTTCCAAGCTGAAAAGACTCAGTCTTATTAATCTCTCCTCACATGGCAGACGCTCCAAACCCCTAATCATTTTGGTAGCCCTTTTCTGAACCTTTTCCAATTCCAATATATTTTTTTTGAGATGGGGCGACCACATCTGCACACAGTATTCAAGATGTGGGTGTACCATGGAGTTATATAGAGGCAACATGATATTTTCTGTCTTATTATTATCTATCTTTTTCTTAATGATTCCCAACATTCTGTTCGCTGTTTTGGCTGCCGCTGCACATTGAGTGGATGTTTTCAGAGAACTATCCACAATGACTCCAAGATCTCGCTCTTGGGTGGTAACAGCCAATTTAGACCCCATCATTTTATATGTATAGTTGGGATGATGTTTTCCAATGTGCATTACTTTGCATTTATCTTCACTGAATTTCATCTGCCATTTTGTTGCCCAATTTTGAGAGAGATCCTTTAGTAGCTCTTTGCAGTCTGCCTGGGACTTAACTATCCTGAGTAGTTTTGTATCATCCGCAAATTTTGCCCCCTCACTGTTTACCCCTTTTTCAACATCATTTATGAATATGTTGAATAGGACGGGTCTTAGTACAGACCCAGGGAGGACACCACTATTTACCTCTCTCCATTCTGAAAACTGACCATTTATTCCTACCTTTGTTTCCTATCTTTTATCCAGTTTCCAGTCCATGAAAGCACCTTCCCTCCTATCCCGCGACTGCTTACTTTGCTTAAGAGCCTTTGGTGAGTGACCTTGTCAAAGGCTCTCTGAAAATCTAAGTGCACTATGTCCACTGGATCACCTTTGTCCACATATTTGTTGACCCCCCTCAAAGAATTGTAGCAGATTGGTGAGGCATGCTTGCCCTTTACATAAACCATATTGACTCTTCCCCCAACAAATTATGTTAATCTCTGTGTCTGATAATTCTGTTCTTTACTATAGTTTCAACCAGTTTGCCAAGTGCTGAAGTCAGGCTTACTGGCCTGTAATTACCAGGATCACCTCTGGATCCCTTTTTAAAAATTGGTGTCACATTAGCTATCTTCTAGTCATCTGGTACAGAGGATGATTTAAATGATAGGTTACAAACCACAGTGAGTACTTCTGCAATTTCACATTTGAGTTCCTTCAGAACTCTTGGGTGAATCCTATCTGGTCCTGGAGACTTATTGCTGTTTAATTTATCAATTTATTCCAAAACCTCTAATGACATCTCAATCTGGGACAGGTCCTCAGATTTATCACCTAAAAAGACTGGCTTAGGTTTGGGAATCTCCCTCACATGCTCAGCTGTGAAGACCAATGCAAAGAATTCGTTTAGTTTCTCCGCAATGGCCTTATCGTCCTTGACTGATCCTTTAGCATCTCGATCGTCCAGTGGCCCCACGGGTGGTTTAGCGGCTTCCTGCTTCTGATTTACCTAAAAAAATGTTGCTATTACTTTTTGAGTCTGTGTCTAGCTGTCCTTCAAATTCTTCTTTGGCCTCCTCGTATATTTACACTACTTGTGCCAGAGTTTATGCGCCTTTCTATTTTCCTCAACAGTATTTAACTTCCACTTCTTAAAGGATGCCGTTTTGCCTCTCACTGCTTCTTTTACTTGGTTGTTTAGCCAGGGTGGCACTTTTTTGGTTCTCTCACTATGTTTTATAATTTGGGGTATACATTTAAGTTGAGCCTCCATTATGGTGTCTTTAAAAAGTTTCCATGCAGCGTGCAGGGATTTCACTTTTGGCGCTGTACCTTTTAATTTCTATTTAATTACCCTCCTCATTTTTGTGTAGTTCCCCTTTGTGAAATTAAATGCTACTGTGTTTGGGCTGCTGTGGTGTTTTCCCCACCACAGGGATGTTAAATTTAATTATATTATGGTGACTATTACGAAGCAGTCCAGCTATATTCACTTCTTGGATCAGATCCTGACTAAATCAAGAACTGCCTCTCCTCGTGAGAGTTCTCGGACTAGCTGATCCAAGAAGCAGTCATTTAAGGTGTCAAGAAACTTTATCTCTGCATCACGTCCTGAGGTGACATGTACCTAGTCAATTTAGGGATAGCTGAAATCCCCCATTTTTATTGAGTTTTTCATTTTTATGGGCTCTCTAATCTCCCTGAGTATTTTACAGTCACTATCACCATCCTGGTCAGATGGTTGGTAGTATACCTCCACTGCTATATTCTTATTATTCGAGTATGGAGTTACTATCCATAGAGATTCTATGGTATAGTTTGGTTCATTTAAGATTTTTACTTCATTTGATTCTACGCTTTCTTTCACATATAGTGCCATTCCCCCACCAGCACGACCTGTTCTGTCCTTCCGATAGATTTTGTACCCTGGTATTACTGTGTCCCATTAATTAGCCTCATTCCACCAAGTTTCTGTGATGCCTATTATATCAATATCCTCATTTAATACGAGGCACTCTAGTTCGCCCATCTTATTATTTAGACTTCCAGGCCCGAGAGAGACGTGAGAAACCCAGCTCCAAAATCTCTGCTCTACCTGGTTTGGAGCAGGGACTTAAACA